AAAGAGTGCACAGAATCAGTTTCTAAACACTTCTCTTGCTGCTGTCTTTGGACTTGCATTCCCAGTGCAGCGGGAATGTTCAGCCAAGGGAGATCTTGCCTGAAAGAGCAGAACTGGAGCATAACTGTGGTACGGCACTGGTCACAAAACAGGCAATAAAGAGAATTCAGTTAGTGCCTAATTATTGTATTCAGTTTTGTTCTGTTTTGAAAATATGGTCTCAGAAACATTGCCTTTAATGAAGAAATAAACTATACAAGAAGATAATGCCTTTTGCTTAAAGGCTAGGCAGGCTTTGGCTCTTTTCTCTGTTTTTGGATAATGTTGGCCTCAAATTGCCTTGTTATTCCCATCTGTAGACCACTGATGATAATATCCTTACTTCTTAAAGCAGTTTGAGATCTGTTAATGAGGCTTATTGTATACAGGCTTTATTAATGTTCTTGTTTGTAGAATATTAACATACACAGAGCTGTAGCAACGTGACTTCAGAATATGTAATGTAATTATTTGTGCTGAATATAAATGCAGTCAAGGCAATGCCGTCTGTGCTGTGATAAAATGACATTATGCTGCTCTGACATTTACCAAAAAAGCCTCCTTTTTCTATATTATATTTGCTATATCTTACTGATGCTGTGCTACAAAATGAAGGTAATGGATGAAAGAACAAGAAAAGCATTTTTATTTTATTTTCTAAAAAAAGAAGATATTTAGTATTAATAGGAGCTTTTCCCTTCAAAGCCAGGCTGCATATCAGTTGCTATACACTTCCTAAACTTATCTGAAGTCATGTTCAAAGGAAAATTTTTAGGCAGAAGAGCCATGGGGTGAAGAAGACAAAACGATATTTTTCTGGTGGCAGTGTGATTCAAAAATATAATTATCATTTATCCTTTGTGGATATCATCATTGTTGATAGATACAATTTGTTTGCCATCCTTTGAATAATTCTTAAGGCTTAGGGAAGCCATCAGTGGAACTCATGTTTAACTTCATATTAACAAGAAATTGTCAGTTAAATGCTTGATCATGCCAACACTTGCTAGTGGTATGGTGCTTACTTTATAATAAAAAAAAGTCTACTGAAATCTGACACTAAATATTGGATGATTCCAGCTAAAAGACGTCTTACGAAGCCACGATGGATTTCCAAAGCAGATGTGCACCAGCTTAAATAAGGACATTTCTGAAGCTGAAATCTTATTTTTCTCTTTTTGCAGGGATCCCCAGAATTTGTTTCCCCCTGAGGTCAGCAATGCAAAGCTTCAGTATGCTGGTTGGGGTCCAAAAGGGCAACAGCTGGTAAGAGAAAGAACAAGCGTGCAAATGAGTTTAGAGACCATGCTGCTATTATTTTTAAGGAAAAAGAATAAATTTTTATTGACTAGTTTGTTGAAATATGTGTGGTAGCTTCTAGTATCTGTATGGGGATTGTTTTATCATGTAATCTATTTATAAAATTCCCAAATATATACATTTGCTGCAAAGTAATTGTGTCTAAAAATACAAAGAAAGAACACTTTTTGAAGGCTCTGTGAGAGGATGCACCTGCTTCTCCCAAAGTTGGACACAGGACATGATAGGCAGTATGATTTAGTTAGCATATCACAAGGGCATTTTCAGGCCTGTAAGCTTGGCACTAGGGATATTTTAATATTAGCAGCCCTGTTTGGAGAATGCATCTCTCTAGAACAGAGTTGCCCTGAATTTACCCTGTGGTTGTTTGCAAAATACACAAAAGTAGAAGTGTATTCTGGACAGTTTTCAGAGCTGGCTTTTAAAAAAATCCCACTTGTCAGGAATTCATTGTGTTTCATGGAGCCTTTCATACTGCAATAGCCCTGACATATCCAGTGTTTTGTCCCTCAGCCACTGCTGTCTTGGATTTGCCTGTGTTTTAGAGCATGCATTTCCTGGCCAGATCCCCTGGCTTTATTTCCTGGTGCAAATCCAATATTAAGCTTTTGCATATTCCAAGCACTCTCTTTCAACTGTAACATGAAAAAATCACAACTTCTTTTTTGATACGGAATATCTGTACCAAGAAATGAATTTTAAAAGCTTATTATCTGAGAAAATCTGGCATATGTCTCCTGTCCCCAGTCCTCTCTTGGGGATTTTTTGTCTGTGTTCTTAACTAGATGGTTTTCAAATTTTGTGATTTAAAAAACAGCAATAGGAGACATTATAATTGTCAGTCTGCAAATCAGGGTGGAGGAAACATAACAGGTACAGGAACAGGAAAGTCTCTCCTCTGCTCCCTTGGGAAAATCAGGTTTGAGAGAGTCATCAACCTCAAATCTGATAGGGATAGAGATGCAGCAGCCTTTACCTCTATGGAAAATGACTTCTGAGAAGCTCACTTTTTTCATTGCATACGTGTACAAGTCCCACTTTTGTCCTCTAGCATATGCCATTTCAAATTCCTTACTGTGCTGCCCAACACATCACTGATGAGCAGTTGGTACCAATTCACAGAGATGGGAGTCTGATCATGACCAAACTCTTTCTTTTATATTCATTGGTGAAGACCAATGTGATCTCATCATCAGGCTTCTGGCCAACTGATGATAATGTACAATCCATTGATAACACATTATGTTCAAAACTGGAGGCTACCTTTAGGACATGGCAGAGAAAGCCAAAAAAGACCAGCGATTTTTTATTCCCTTTTCACTAGCTCTTTGTGTTTTAAGTCTAACAGGCTGAGCTTCACAATGTATAGCAAAAGCTACATCTGCTAATTGAAAGCTAATATTGAGCTGCATTCATGATTTTCTCCGTTTGACAAGTGAATCTTCCTTTCTTTGATATAGTTTTGCTGTGAACTTGAATGCCTTCTGCACCCTGAGGCACAGCATGTTATTGATTCGCATTAATTTTTGTTTTCCCAGGCTGAATGGGTGTACTTAATTTCCACCTTGGAAAGAATATTTAACTGTTGTCATACCAAAGTCAAGATGACCAATTCACTTCCTCCATTACTTTCTCTACCTAAGTGACATAATTATGCAGAAAGGAAAGATATTCATATCAAAATGAGCAAATTATTTGTACAGTAGGACAGTATATACAGTCTAGCAGAAGAAAAGACATCTTTACTCCCAGCTTTATCCTTTAATGCTGAAATAATTGATACCACTAATCACCAACTTTTATTAAGAAATATGCAATGAAAACTTAATTCTCTAAGAATTCCCTAAGACATCAGTTTAGCACATGTCCCTTCTGTGGGATGCATGGCAGATTTTTTTTTAACTAACTTCAAATATTACTGTTAATATTGAATTCTATATGAATCTTGGAAATATCTTGCAACATTGGATTAGTTCTGTATGTTTGGGGTTTGTTTTTTTTTTTGCTTCCAAATATTTTGGCCTGTAACTCAGCAGTATTTCCTGTTCTTGCATTTGGAGTCAAGGTAGGTGAGGACAACATCAGTGGCAGTTTAAGTTTTATCCTGCATACCTCCAATATATGTGCCTTTTTGCTCTTTTCCTTGCCTGTCATTTAACTTAAAATAAAATTAGAACTGTAGTTTATAACATAAGCAGGCTTTCATGTGCATCAATATAATCTATTTATAGCTAATGATCAGCAGAGAATTGCCAGAGAAAAACGATTTAAAAAAATCTACAAGCATGATAAGTGAGATAGAGAGAATATACAATGCTCACTCTTCTTTATTTCCAGATTAATTGAGTTATTCAGAATATAATTGTCAGCGAAATTCATGTCTTCTTCTGTGGGGACAACACTGAGTGCAAAGGCAGAGAAAAATTAAAGTCTATTTAAACTTGATAGTGTGAACGTGTTAGCAAAATGCTAATTGCTGAGATGTGCTGCAGGAAAAGGAGGGGGAAAAATGTCAAGTGGGATGGAAAGGAGTAACATCCCGGGAACTACACATCAGCTCGCCTGGTCCTGGGTGGTTACAGGGCCAAACACTTGTGAGAGTGTTTGAGGGTGGTATCACAGCTGCACGAAGGTACCCGAGGGATGCCAGCTCCAGTGCTACTCATGGCAGCCACCATCTGTGCACAGCCAGCAACCCAACTGCAGGCTGCACCTCCCAGAAAAGGTGGGAGCAAAGGGTGGATGGGTTCTGCATCTCCTTGAAGATACCAAATTTTCAGGAAATATAAAGCTTTCCCCTTGAAATCTTGTGGTTTGTTCTTTGGAAACACAAAGGAGAGGTAGGGCAGGAAAGTAAGTGTGTTTGGTTCCAGTATTTTTTATTCTCTTTGTACCTTCTATTTCATCCTTCAGAGGGGAACTTTTGGTCGCTGTGTCTGACCTCTTTCTCTCTTGCATGTTTAATCATTCAAAAAAAAAAGGGAAAAAAGAAACAGAAGCAGCCTGAATGATCTGCATTCTTTGTGATTAAAAATAAACAGTGAAACTTTCCCAGGAGCAATTTTCTATTTATCTTGTTTTCTTTTGTCCGCACTCATTAAATTATATGCCAAATTTTAGATTATTAACTCCTCAGTGCATGGTTCTTGACTTCTTTCTAGCTTACAGAACACCACACATGCCAACAGAGCTGTATAAATAATGGCAGATATTGGATCTGAGAAAATCTATGTCAGAAGATCAGAATGAAAAAAAGCCCTCACTTCTGGCACCTCGGAAAAATGCTTCGGCTTTTCTCAGATCTCAGCCAAAGTCTTAACAAATTAAATCTTCCAAAGCTGTTGGAAGACTTGGGCTTTTACTGGTGGGAGCTCCTGAGTGAATAGAAATAGAGCCACTGCCTCCGGTGCAAGAGGGACCACATTTCCTAAATGCTGCTATTTCTAAAGGGTTCATCCCTCTCATTTCTTCTTAGACATGAACTATCATTTATGCCTTTGTAGAAAAAGTGAAAAACACTGTTAAATTGGAATAACAGTGTGTTATATTCACTTCTTGTGGGTGTAAATGACCATGCAAAATTGCTATGAAAAAAATCCATCCTTTCTGTGGTGCACCCAATAGCCCAAAGTCTCCCTTAGTATTTGATGGCATAAGCAGGGTGCTTGGTGGTTTTCAGTCATAGGCTGTATTATCCTCAAACAGTTTGTGTGGTGCTTTCTAGCAATATGGGGATGTTGGTGGTATGACAGGACTACAGAAAAGTGTTAGGCTGGACCTTTGCCCTGTTCTGTATATGCCTATCTTTGTAAAAATCTTCACTCCTTAGATTTCCTCTCTTTTTCTAATCTTGCCATTTATGACTCAGCAGCTATCTGCTTTTGGAGTTTCAATTCTTCCACCAAAAAAGGCTTCTGTTAATTGATCTTACTGGATTATTTTACCAGTTTCATGCTTTATCACATTACGTCTTTTAGATTCTGCCCACGTGCAGAGGACTCACACGAGATTTCCATGGTACATTTTCCCCAATATTATGTATGCAATGGTTAATAGTTAACATCAAAATGTGCAGCTGACAAGCTCGGACCCCTTTATTTATTAAAAAAAAAATACACTGGGAAGAGATTTCCTTTGCTGGTTTGCTTGGCAGCATGGCTGGAGTCAGGGAGTGCTGTCTAGTATATACCCATAGCTGAAGTGCTCAAGGAATCCAAAAAACCTGAAACTTTCAAGACGCTTTTATCTGAGTTATCCCAAAATGAGCACATCTAGGTTCAAAATACTTGCTTGAAGGACAAAGTAGGTATGTATGTGGGCCCTATTGTCAAAAGGAAGGAGCAAGCAGTAGGACTGCTCTAATAATGCACAGTGAGTATTTGCCTGCACTGGCAGCACTGAAGTACAGTTCACGGGAGTTGATAAACTCCAGTTTCAGTCAGATCTGTAGCAGCCCTGACAGATACTAATGATAATGGTGACACATCCGTTGCTGGGGGAAGCAGTTCTGCACAATTTTGGAGGCAGCAGTTATAATTCAATAACATCTCTCATAGATCATAGTATTTATCCTTCAGCAAAAAGAAACACTTTTTGAGGTTCTCCTGGCCAGCCAGTCTTTTACTATTTCTACTGTTTCTTTAAAATGCCTAAAACCTAAAGGAAGAGGATTGTAGCTGCTGGAAGTTTTGTGTGCCCTTGCATTTACTGCAACCCCACAGAATGACCGAAATGGGCTTCTCCTGCATTCATAGCCAATAAACCTTTTCCAGAGTCAACTCTTCTGGAGCAGGAACCATCTTTTATTCTTGTAGATTATGCAGCAATCAAGTGTATAATTGGTTCTAAAGTAACAGAAGTTACATTTCACAGCAGGTGCAGAAGTTGCATTTAAAAATCACTATTTCAGTGAAATGCAAATGCCAGGGAAAAAAGGAGAAGTAACTCTTTCAGCCCCTACTATGTTAGAGGTTTGCAGGTGCCCTCGAAACAGGAATGGTAATGCTGATAAACACACTTATTGTCATATATATTACTGTCTAAGAAGTGCAATAAATTTAGACAAATGTTAGCATTCATTCATATATAAAACATTTAAATAATAGATCCTGCTGCACAGGGCCAGAACCTATCCATCTCATTTCTTGTTACAATTTTTTTTAACACTGTAGCACAATGTCTTTC